GAATACAATTACTCACAGTTACCTTAGGGCTTCCTCTGCCACAAAAGAATGCATGGCAATTAATGTTTTGAATGGAATAAGCCAGGAAATAGCCCAGCCGTCTACAAAGCATAGAAATTTGGTCTTTGCAACAGCCACAGGCCACCCACAGGGAAGCCTGTAAACCATCCTTTCCTGACCCGGCTATGGCACCAACTGGTGTCCGAAAGATTTGTGTCACATCACAGAAACTAAGCGTGCCGAGAGGCATGGCAGCGTGTCACTACAGTCAAGTAGTCAAACGGTGGCAACTTTCATCCAATATGATGTGTTAAATGAAACAAATTGTTAGAACATTTATAAGCTTGTCATGATTCATGTCACCTGCAACTTAAAACATGGCCATTATAGAGACCCTTACCTGAGTTTCCAGGAAGAATAAGCTGTTTTACTAAAGGAGGTTTCACTGGTGTGGAGGAAGGGGAGTTGTAGCTACTGTTGTAGGGACTGCCAGTGTTTGGACTATAAGAGTTTGCGTAATTGACAGTGCTGAATGGATTACTGTACAGACTGTGTCTCTTGAGGGCTGTATAAAAGTGCAGAGAACAGTATGCAAGAAGTTAGAGCATAAACTGTTTACTTTAAATGCTATGTAAGTATAAATGATTTTTCCATCTTTTAAATAAAGACTGTTTCTTACAGAGCAGTAGCAATATGTGATCAAAACCTCAGTGAAACAGTCAGCATTTTTTAATGATTCTGTAAGGCATTCTGTGCATACCGAAAGCTAAACATGCATTCAGAGTTAGACAAAGTAATCACTCAACATCAGGCTTGGTTTTCCAGTTTCATTTGCATTCCCTTGGGGGGAAACCTACAGAACATTTGTAAAAGGATGAAGGAGCCTGGTTACACAGGAATGGAAACTGAACTGCCAGTAATACCAAGGAAGTGTGCCACCGCTTTAGGCACAGGATCAACCACTCCTGTCTCCATCATCAAACATGCTCTGAGTTTCTCAATCAATTTCTCCCTGTCAGCCCCAGTGACATTGAAATACCTTACATCATGATATACCGCTTCTTGCTGCACAGCCCAAATCCATAAAGACAAACATGTTGCTTTGGAAGTCATGTTTACTCAGAGACTGGCCTTCTTTTCTCTGAAGAGCCTGGTGCTCATCTGAGATTTTACAGGTCAGCATCACCAATCAATCCTGTTCTGAGGCATCCAGAGCATGCCCCTCCCATAACAAACAAGACCAAGACTCATGTATCTTGTTCAACCACCATACCGCTGTGCGCCATATGCCTAGAACTCTTATGTTGTATCATGATATACGGGAACACTGTTGTATCATGATATACGGGAACACTGCTGTTGGTGAGACCCAAGTCAGCATCACCAAGCAATCCTGTTCTGAGGCATCAAGAGTATGCCTCTCCCATACAAACAAGACCAAGACTCATATATCTTGTTCAACCACCATACCGCTGTGCACCATATGCCTAGAACTCTTGTGTTGTATCATGACATACGGGAACACTGCTGTTGGTGAGACCCATACCTGACGGTGAAGCAGCTACACTGTCATGGCATTAGTCAAGCTCTGCCGAATCAAACATAGGCCTATCTAGTCCAACACAGTGTTTTCCATAGTGGCCTACTAGACACCTCCAGAAAACCCACAAGCAGAGCCTCTCTCTCCCCATACGCCAATTACAGTATTCTAATGGTAACTTTCTCACTCCCCCACTCAGGGCTGCTCACCTGGCATCTATCAGAACCCCTTACTGCTCAATAGTGCCTCCCACTTTGTGGGACAGGCTCCCTGATGAAAATGCCATACTGTGCAAGAGTTTTAAAATGGTGTCTGAGTTGCAGCTATGTACCGTGTGTGTGTGTGTGAATAAACACAATTTAGATGCCATACTGTGCAAGGGTTTTTAAATGGTGTCTGAGTTACAGCTACGGTATGTACCGGGTGTGTGTGTGTGTGAATAAACACAATTTCATTATGGAAGGTTTTGAACTCTAAGTCACCTTGACCCATAAGGGAAATGTGGTGTGTAAATGTCTGAATAAGTAAATAAAATAAAGACAATAACCCTTCACTGCTTTTGCCACCAGCAGCTGGTATTCGAAGAAACAATGACACTGAATATTTATCTATTCTGCCCAAACCATTTAAGCTATTTATCACTGCATCATGGGATGGGAACTCCCTTAAATTATCTCTTGTATGAAGAACTTTCTTTCTCGCCCCAAGGCTACTGCCAAGCAATTTTGTTGGGTAACCCAGAATTTCAGTATTTTGGGAGAAGAAGAAAAAGTTCTTTCTATCCACTTTTTCCACACTATGCATATATTCTATACATCTGTCACGTCCCCTTCCTCTTTCAGCCATCTTGTCTCTACATTAAAAAGCCCCAGAGGTCTTTCCTCAAAGTACCAAACCCTTGATCGCTTTGGCTATTCTTTTCAATACCTTTTCGAACTCTACAATACCCTTTTTGACATGCTGTGATTAGAACAGTATACTTTGTTCCAAATAGAGCTGCACAGATATTTACAGAAAGGCATTACTGTTCTGAGCACTTTATTTTCAACTCTTTTCCTAGTAATATCTTCCACGGAATTCACTGTTTCCCTAGTCTCCACCAGTTAAGGCATCATTAGTGTGTAAGTATAGTGAAAAGACCATGTTTTGCCCCAGTTTGCATCATTGTATACCTCTAGGCCTCATTTACAATTCTGTTGCCCACTCACACAACTTAAAGAAATCTCTCGACCATTATTTGCTACTAGCCTATTTAATTCTCTGTTCAACACACTTTATTACATAACTGGAATGACAACTATTACAGGAGCAAGAAGCCTGGTATGAACCTTAAAGACTGACAACTTTTTGTAGCGTCAGTCTTCATTGACTTGTTTCTGCTTCCCTGATGCTATTTCTTCAAGCCAGATCACTGAAACTTTTGGTCAAAGCATTTTAATAAAAATTGGGGCCTTCAGACTAGTGAGGATTGATTTGTTTCCTCCTTTGGCAGCCTACCTGATAATTGATGCTATAAGATTAATGCCATTACAAGCAAACATCATTTTTCTCTTAATACGCAGTGAGAAAATCCATGTTTTGGCAATATGAAGAATATTTTATTCTTCGTTCAAGCTTTAACACTTCTATACAAGCATCCTAATATTTTCAATATAGTTTCTTTTTAAAAAGGTCATTTCAAAAGGGAAAAAAAAGTTGAATACACATGCACACACACACAAAATCCAAGAACTGAGAAACTTCTAAGATTCAGTTCTGATGATGCACAAGGGCTTAAAAGGCAAAGGCATGAAGAAACCATGCTCACAGAAGTGATCACTTCATATAAGCAATATGATGTAGGAACTATAAATGAAAAGCTCCTCTTTTGTGAAAAAAGCAGCGTTACATGCTTTTTCACAGAACGGGAGATGGGATAACATGTAATGCAGGAACTGCAAATTTACATTTGCCAAGCACATAACCACAGACACAAGCAGTTTCTGCTCTGAGTTGGATGCCTGACATACTGCTGGAAACTATTAAGTGAAGCAGTATCCAATGTCAACATTTTCTTATTTGAGTTCAAAACTATGGATTTAAATTATTACTTGGCAGCAAAATCTCATTCATCGGTTCTACTATTTCAGCTATTTGCCTGGCCTGAAAAACAATAATTTTTTCTTTAGGAGAAAAGAGTTACAAATGATGTTTGTTTATTTCACACAATACAATTTCATGTTTGGAGATTAAGTGGGCAGTTTCCTGATCTGAGTACTTGGGACTGAAAAAACACAGGCAACCTCCTTCACATGTTACAGAACAGGACACATGATCTCACCTAATCAGAAATTCACACAGCAGGAAATGTTAATGTACGAGGCAGTCCCACAAGTACTGACATTCCCAAATTTCAGTTCAAATTTAAATGCAATGAATATACTAAAGCCAAAGTTAAACACTTCAGTTGCTTTGATTTTGATGGAAGAAATTCAAGAATGTGCTTAGCACCACCACAAATGTCAACTGGACTTAAAAATGCCTTGGGCTATGTCTTACAAAATACAGTTTTTAAAAACAGACTCCACGTTTCTGTATACTACTTAAGTATAATCAGTGAAGCAGAAACTCACCTGACATTGTTTGTTCAAGCCTGTGGATCAATGACTTTTTAGCACTTTCAATATCTGGAGTTGGGTAATCCAATATCTGCCTACACCAAACTAGTGGACTAACTGATTTCTGCACTGGGGTCACTTTTTTCTTTGGTGAGGTATATAACCTAAGGAAGACAAAAAACAATAATATTAAACAAAGGTACATAAGCTCTGATATCCTAATTAAGTTTGAATTATGGCTTTCTGTAATACCATAATAAGGCTCAAAGGCTAAGCTTGCTACTTGTGAAGTGTGCTTTCCTGAGTCAACAAGTTAACAGTAAAGTACACAAGAGCATGTTTACTCTCATCAGGTCACAGCACAAACACAAACAAAACATGATGTTTCAGAATGTGATAACTCATCCCTGTTCAAGATCTTGGAAGAATATCAGATGACAACATGAAATTCCCATTTCCAGAAGAATGCCAGAAACAGATGGATATGAATGTACCCAAAACACTTTGAATCTTGCTGATTTTGCTAACATTACACTGAAAAATCTATGGGTTTGCTATTCAGAAGGATTCTAATCAGATCAATCAGCATTCTAAGAAGCTGTCTGTGCAACTCAGTGAGACAAAGAGGAATACCTCTAAGCTGTTGCACATTACAAACTGATGGCTGCAGTCCTTCTGGGAGAAAAAACAGATCCAGTGTTAATTTCAGTATTCAAAATGATCAGGTTTTACAAACCCAATCATAAACATAAATCCTTGATTCATACAAAAAGCATGTTCCAAAGATTCTATAACTATACATACTGTAAATCTTAATAATTTCACCTACAAATTCATAACCACATCCCAAACCATCCAATACTATAGCACTAAACCCTGTATACATCAAGTGTTGAAATTAATGGAACGCAGAAACTATGTCAAGGGATTTTACAGATTTATAATCTTAATCTGAAATGTGTACTTGAAATTGAAGTAGATTAAACAAAAAAAGCCATATAGAAACTCACAGGGTCTGATTTCCAAATTAGGTACCCCCAAACAAGTAAGTCATTCTGTCCACATAAAGGTTCAAAACAAAATCCTCATCTTTCAGCTGTGCATGTGTGTAAAGTGCCATCAAGTTGCAGCTGATTTAGGGCAACCCCATAGAGTTTTCAAGGCAAGAGACTAACAGAGGTTGTCTGCCATTGCCTTCCTCTGCATAGCAACCCTGGAATTCCTTGGTCACCTCCCATACGAATACCAACCAGAGCCTCCCCTGCTTAGCTTCCAAGATCAGGCTAGCCTAGGCCATCCAGGTCAAGGTGTCTTTGAGCTAGGACCAGAGTCCTAAATGCAAATGACCAGATCTTAACTGGAGGTAAACTGCAAAATTCACAATGCAATCCTAAGAATATATATATATATCACTAAGTTCAGTAAAACACTCCCCAGGGAGCGTGCTTAAGACTGCAGCCTAAGAGGGGTTTAGCTGCAAAATTCACAATTCAATCCACACTCCCCAGGGAGCATGCTTAAGACTGCAGCCTAAGAGGGGTTTCTCTGTGTGGTTATGCTCTGAATACAGGCCCAGAAAAATAATGGAATAAGTACTTGTTGTACCTGAACTTATTTTCTTTAAACTGCAGCAGAAAAGACCACCACTTAGTGTCAATAATGGGCAAACCCCCCCCAAAAAACTATTTTGGGCTTGAACCAAGTTCCTTTCAAGACACAGTTCTGACTTACTGAACATTTATCTTCCTAAAGTAATTGTTATCTTAAATTTGTATTGCCACTCTACATTACATAAATGTAGACCTATTCATTTCGCTTATAACCCACCTTTCTTGCTGAGATTCAAAGTGGAATTAAACAATTCAAAAACAACACAGTAGAAACAGGATAATACATACAAGCAATGTGCCAACAAAATCAGAAAAAGTAAACAATGACAGTATAAAACTACAACAGTTAATTTATTACAGCCCCATGTTCTGAGAGACAGGTCACAATGGGAAATCAGAACAGGAAGGAAAGTTGCACCAGCCCATGTAGAAAAACTGAGCGGTCCATACTTTATAGACACCATAAGAATTGGTATAGCAGTTAAGCACATGAGCTGAGACATGCTTCTAAATCAAAGAAATCCTTCTCATTCTTGCAAAATTTGACTTAGCTGTTCCCCTTAGGTGGATGTGCAAAAAACAGAAAAGGGTTGCTCACTCTTAATTTGTTTTATGAGGACACACTGCTGTATACAGCAATCAGGGAAATCAACATCCAGCAATCAAATTAAGGCATTAAAGTTAGTACATAAGCACTGTAGGTTTAGGCTACGACTTGTGTAAAGATCACAAATCTTTGTCACCGGTTCCAGACATTGACAAAAGCCAGATAAACTCGGCATTTTTAGAGCAACCAACTATGTTGGATTAGGGCTACTCTGCTAAACTTAAAAAATGAAAAAAAACTACAACAGTGTGTCACATGTCAGCATTATGAAAACAGTTAGTGTTATTGCTGCCACGTTATGAAGACAACTACAAAATAGAAGAATATGCATTAGATTTCCCCACAGATGCTTTATTTTTGTTGTTCAGTCGCACAGTCGCGTCCGACTCTTCGCGACCCCATGGACCAGCTCCCGCCAGGCCTTCCGGTCTTCCGCCGTCCTCTGAAGTTTGCTCAATTTCATGTTCGTTGCATCTATGACACTGTCTAACCATCTCATCCTTTGCCGTCCACTTCTACTAGGTTCCAGCTAACTATTCCACAGAGATATCATCTGGCTTTCTTCCACATACTACCATCTCAACAGGGTCCTTCCAAACATTAAGATGAAAGCCTTAAAACAGGGTTTTAATATCTTTGTTTCTTGGCTAGCTATGATGTCTCTAGATATACTTTCTAGCAGTCTAAGTCATCCTGAAGATCATGCCATCTGGTTACATCGTGAGTGAAAACACCACCGAGCTAAGGTACAGAGAATATACCGAGATAAAAATATTAATGAGAAGTACTTTATGAAGTGCTTTAAAATAAGAGCAGCAAATACCAGTGCTGCAACAAATAAAAAACTGTTTACGCACAGCTATGTAACCAAAGGGTAGTCTGAATACCTTTCCTCCGCCTCCTTCCAAGGGTTCAGGGAAAGTGACAGCAAGTTTTAAAACAATGTAAATAAAACATTGCAGTCAATAATAGTGAGATACCAAATACTGACAAAGAATAAGAAGAACCCTTATAAAGTGATATGATCCAATTAAACTCCTGAACATACTTACTCCTCACTTCATTACAAGGATTAATATTGATTGGAATATTGCCTGTGCACTGTTTATATATGAAATTTCCACTCATTCCACGTTAAGATTATGCCTTGTTAACAGAGTATCTGGAGCACTACAGCACCAGATGGCCTATGCAGAAGTCAAGTCAAATAAAATGAATGTGCAAATTTGTGATTTACGTCACATATAATAACAACATACAGAAATATCTGTATAATCAAGGGCCGGGCAACATTCACTTTCAATGTCAATTTGTAGTCATGGGGCAAGACAGTGGGGAGATATCTTCTCTAAGAGGAGGAAAATAGGGTATTGGAGAACCCCATGACGACCCCTCCTGCTTCCCTTGTACAGATTGATCCTTCCTTAGAAGATGGATGAGCACAGGACAAATGGACAATGTACTGGGTGGCGAGAAGGAAGAGATGTTGTAGGCATACTGTACCACAAATCAACTTTTCAGAAGCAGGGTCTCAACTCACTACGGGCCCTGTTTGTGGTCCCGTGTGCTGTGGAGAGCCAGCAGGGCAACGAGTGGCCATGGTGGCCACGTCCTTCAGGGTGGGGCAAGTTGTTCGGGCAACTTGGGGGCCGGGCAGCAGCAGCAGCGGGAAAACCAGGTCCTCCCCTTCCCTGGTGGGCCTATGAAGGGACTCGAACTGGGCCCAGGGGAGGGTGAAGGGGATGGACCTGGGGCTGCAAATGTGATCATATCTCACATTTTAAGACATTTTAAGTAGAACTTAAGTAAACCTAACATCAATTCATGTTAAGGCAACTTAACTCTGTATTTTTGATCTGTGTAAATTACTGTATTTACCTAGCTTGTCTCTGCTAATCCTACAGAAGATGAAGGTGTTACGCAGAGCACTGACATTTCTCTTCCAGAGCACTGAAATCCTGCTAACTTCTGAGGCTTCCATCAAGTAATGCCTGCTCAATTTCAAGCTACTCTTTTGGCTCCAAGACCTAGATGAAGCTGATTGTCACACAGGTTTTTTTCTCTCCTAAAGCTGTTCTGATAAAGTAACATCACTAACCACACACATAGGGAGTTTAATTTAAAAGCAACTACTGTTCTTAACCAGTCTAAATGCTTTTTAAGTTATTCTGAAAAATAGCACTGCATGTTCCTCTTGCTGCTTTAAATCTAGCAAGGCATTAAAAATTTTTTTTAATCGACTGGTTCATGCCACACTGGAAAACATCACTGAGTAACACTTTTTAAGTTATTCTGAAAGATAGCATTGCATGTTCCTCTTGCGGCTTTAAATCTAGCAAGGCATAAAAAAAATTTTTAATCGACTGGTGCATGCCACACTGGAAAACATCACTGAGTATTCAAAGAGTCAGAAGTTTTTCTTTAAACTTATCCTCATACATTTCACAACTTCTAAATTAGCTGAGTGAGTCATCTTGTAGCTGACTGATCAAGACAGGCCAGTAACTCCCATACCCAAACTATAAACTTGTACAATAAGTAGGCTATACACATTTAAAATTAAAATGAATTTTTAAAGAGTATAGCTTTTGTATAATATGCTTGAACAGTTATTTCATTGTATGTAGGAATCTGGGCAAGAACAAAAATGCAGCTTGTATTTAAGCAGACCACACAGCTCTTTATTTGGTTTAGGAACTTATGAATGCTTTTTATACTTATCTGTCCACTAATGCTATGCTTTTATCTTACACAAAGAAAATTGGAGTATTTTATTTGCATGCAAAAGTACTTGTAATTATTCGCAATAAAGGACAACTAATCTAAACCAGGGAGTTTCAGAGCATGTCATAATAAGCATCTCAACTGTGATTTCACAGTGAGAGGCTTGTCATCCTCAGGGAACCCAGCACACACAATTCATACAGGAACTGTGCCAAATGAACTAGCAAGGTCAGTAGAGGATGCACAGTAATCATTGAATCAAATCTGAAAGACTCCCCTAAGCTCTGGTTTGCTTTATCATCACAACCATTTAGAAATATCTGAAGTCTCTCTAGGAAACAAAGACCCAACCTACAAAAAAGTTCATATGGCTGTTCCCACCTCCATCCAGGGCCCAAGGTAATATAGATCAAAGGAAAGGGGAGAAACAGAATGGGGATGGTGAGTAAGATTCACAAGGACAGGGGGAGGGGGGAGGTTGACTCCTTGACAGGCAGACTCAAAAGACTGACAAGGCTCTTATGCAAAATTACTCCAGCCTTAAATCCACTGAAATGGGTTTAGACTGGAGTATCTCTGCATAGAGTGGTACCTGTAACCTGCTGCCTGCCACCACCCCCTGGTGGTGTGCCTGCTCCCACTGAAGGAGGCTAGACAGTGGGAGGCAAGAATTTGTACCACCCCAGGAACTATCTATGCCTCCCCAGAAATCCACCTCACTCTTTCACAACCACTGATCTAGCTACACTTCTGATCATTCTGTTTAACTATAGAGCGATGTTACTGGACACACACAATCTACATAATCTTGATAATAATTTTGCTCCAAAATTTCCAGGGTTTTTTGCTAGTCTTTCAAACTACCTTTCTTCTGATTTAACTCCTTGTCATTCTTTGTGCTGTGCAGTGAGGTTTTATAGGAATCATGTCTATGAACCATTACACTTTATTTTAGAAACACTACTCTGTTTAAGAAGCCAACTTGCCTTCTTCTATTACCTCTTGTATTGCCTCCTGCTCCTAAGGATCACACCAGAGGGAATGGTGAAAGGAGGGGGACAGCTCTCACACGGATTTTAAAGCGAAAAGCCACTATTTTATACATGCACACACACTTGATGACCTTAATAATATTCTGTAGACAGGTATCTGTATTGGAGGACAAAATGTAAAAGTCATTCTAATAAGCACTACCTACAGGGCCCATCTATTCATTCACATACTTATCAGTAACAATTTGGGAATAACTGAAACATATACAGTATTGGGTTTTTCGGGGTGGGTGGTTGGTTAAGAAGTCTTGCATCTCTGAGATCCCTAACAGTCATTCTCTTAATCCTCACATGCATTCCTAGAACTCAAATTGAAAACTTTACAGAATATCTGCTCAGCAGCTACCTCAAAGAGATCTCTGATCCCAAAGAGGAACAGATAACCTGAAAGTCTGTAAATCAAGGAAGTTATGGCTTTGGAAAAACAATAAAATAAATACATACCAGGATACCAGTAAGCACATGATTTCAACGTTTACCCCCTGAAGGTTGCAGAAACCACATTATAAATATCCCACCACCCCAATAACCACATCTGAAACCTTAACACAGGAGTGATTTAGCATTCCTTTCAGAACTAGGTTTCCAAATACAACGATGATCTCATGACATTCTAAAAAAAAAAACCTGGATGCTTTG